GGGCGGGATGGTTTGTAATGGATGCGGAGGGGGGGGGGCGGAGGAGGGCTGAAGCGGGAATGCTTTTGTGAGTGAGACATAGTTACAGGCCAGTGTGTGTGAGAGAGACGCTCCTCAACGGTACGAGAACTGCTGGCTTTCTGGCTCCAGGTTTTCCAGTGTTCTTGTGTGCAAGATCACACATTTGTCGATGGTGCACATTTATGTACAATGGCTGGAGTGAGTCTACATTCAGGGTGTGTGTGTGCGTGCGATCCAGACGGTTTGTGCGAGTGACAGAGATTTAGACATTCATGATAAATTTGCAAGACAAAATTTTAATAAGAACTACAGACACTTTCAAATGTCGTTGTTGTTGTTCTTGACCCCACCGAGTTATGCCACCATATTAACGGTGGGCGGATACACTCGACGAATAAAACATATGGTGATATTTCACATAATAAAGTGGAGTATTAACTCCCATGTTTTGTCTCAATTGTTCGAATGTAGGATGAACGGAAGGTTTCCACGAGTTTAGATGACACACCTTGAGTAAACAGTCGGCAATCGACGAATGGAAATGAGTTGAAACCTGTCATTGATAATACAATGGTGATTGGGTGTTTAGTTCCGAGAGAGATTAACACAGGTTTGAAAACATTGATTTGCACATGACAAACCTCGTTTCCAAACTGGTTTCAAACCAGTTTGAAATAGATCATGCAAATGCACATGTAAGGCATTTAGCTGGAAGTTATCGAATCTAGTATTTGTTCAGAAATCACCACCTATGGAAATCACTACAACAACAATACACTAATTTGTGTTAGCTTCTAGTCATCCTTTTTCACGGATGAATAGCGATTATTAACAAGTTTAATTCAGTAGGGGGTACGTCAACTCTGTGTGAGCGTGTCTTGGGCTTGTGATTGAGACCGAAAAGGAATTAAATCGATTCAAACCGCTGACCACTAATCTTAATCAGGCTGGATATACACGCTGAGCTATACTCTCACCATCAAATCACCATGTGATTGCTTCGTTTTGGTGGAAGCCTCATTTCGACTTTCATGCATAAATATCATTTCAAAGCGGTTCACGATCCGTGCCACATTCTAGCTCACACGGAACGCTCATTTGGTGAAAAGTGCACTTGTGACGGTCAGCAATTACGCATAACGGATGAGAGCCTGAGGAACCTGTACCCCGAAATCTGATATTCACAATGCAAAACAAGGATGCAGTCCATTCGTCGATCGATCGATAACAAAGTGAAGTTATTTTACTTTTAGACCTGTAGAAGTGTCAGTACGTGTGTATTGACATGAATCTACTTGATAGCACAAGTACAGCGATACCTGTTTTGGCACCATTTACCTTGATCAAAACGTGACTGTGGTGAAGAGCAAGCGAATATGCTGCACACAGCAGGGTTTAGTAATCGTTTGTGTGTTCGTACTGTCTATCTCTCTATGTCTCACATAATCGGAACCTGAGTTTTTTCATTTGGTGACTTTCACTAACAAATCATTATCCCTTTTCACTTGGTCTTAATTATGAACAAGTAAAATAAGCATTTTAAAATGACTAACATAATTAAATGATGCTGACTAACTGGTATTTCATAGCGCACTTGGTTTGGTTGAGCAGAGTTTAACACAACCAATTACAATCATAAAGAACATAAACCCAACATAAACCCCTTTCAAAGATCGTCGTCTAGTCGAATCTACCTCTCATTGCATTTACACCTTCTGTTGCAGCTGCAACGAAGCGTACATAGGTAGAACCGACCGATCACTGCGAACTATAATGGCTGAACACATCCCCAAGTATGTGCGTGACTCTATGACTCAGCCCACACCACACACTCCAAGTGGAATATGTTCACACTGGCGATCTACCCGTTCGACTTTGCTTTTGTTTATCTCCCCGGCATTGTCTCTCTGTTCACTTCCACAGAAATGGTGCAAAATGCAACGGTCAATTTAACTCAGAAGCTTGGCAGCATCCAGAAAGCGAATGAGGAGGCTCAAGTGCGAATTACCCAGTTGGAAACAATGCTTCGGGAACAGGAAACTTTGAATCGGAGTAATCAATCACGAGGCTCTACCAGAACCGGCCAATCAAATACGCAAACTCGATCCTCGTCACAGACCCAGACTCGATCATCGTCAAATCGTCGATCCCAACAGGATCCACGCACATCACGTTCCACTGCTCTGACCTGATAGAAGCCAATTCTGTGCATTCCCCGAGTAACAGTGATAAAAAATACAATACGGGATTCGGGAAACAATATGAGGAGGGGTTGCAGTTTTATTTTGGACCCCGTACTTGTCGCTTCGTCTTCCCGAGAAAATCTATCATGTACAATCAACTACTTCCTTTTCAAGTATGAGTGGTAGTTCCTTATCCAACATTTATTTTATACCAATGAAATGCATATGAAATCACGGCGAACCTTGATGAATTAAACGATGTACGTGACAAATATTTGTATATTTGATTTGCTTTTGATCCAAGGCGTAATACATACACTTTTGGCATCCTCAAGACTTCTTTTGAAAATCTGGTTCATTTTGTTAAACACTATGAACTCTAGCAAATATTGCAACACCAGTATTTTCAAGTGTTATTCTCGGTATCTGGGACAGCGTTTGTGAATATTGCATGCGAATAATTGAAGGGGCTTCGAGAACCGACTCACACTCCTCGTGAATAGGGAGCTCGAGAGATACGGATAGCATTTTCTTCAAAATAGCATCGTTTTATGAGGATTTCCAGTTGAGCTTTCGTTCATTCACTTATTAGGGTACCTGTAATACAGCATTTTTTAAGATCGCACGACATTCATGAAGTTGATAGTTCCAACAGACCCATTGCTTGACTGGGTTCTCACCAAAGAGAAATAACATTTTGGATGTTCACTTGCTCAAAAACTCAATATTTTAAATCCACGTTTTTTACGGTTCTGCATAGAATGATCAAATCGTTCAACAGTTAATCAGATATACTCATCCGACCAAATCAGAATTATACCGATAATAACGTTGTATACATCATTTAAATATACACCAAATAATTTCCAAATTTCCTCCTATTTCATAGCAAAATTATGATTACCTTCACTCAACTTTATCGAATCCTCAATGTGCTCATTCTCCAACCTTTAAAATCATATTTATATAAAGAGACTCCAGTAGGATCAAACGAAAAGGGGATGATTTGTGTATTCTGCAACGAGTCTAAAAGCATTTTAACTGGATGTGATGCTTGGATCACGTGATAAAAATCGACCATCTCAGGGCCTTGCTATGTGTACAAGCGATTTTGCCTTCCTTCGGCCAGGGGTTTGAGTGCTTGAATCATGTTTTGTTGCACGCACAGTCCAGGCTTCATGAGACCGATGGTAATCGCCTCTGTCATCGATGAACTTCAAAAATATGGGGATGAGACCGGATAAATGTTTGTGACGCAGCTCCACTCTTACCATGAGTGATCCCGCGTGGATTGTTTCCTTCGGTGAGTTGAGGAACCTGTTTTGCAATTATATTTACGGTATTTGCATCCCAAGCGCACACTGTTTGTCCGATGATCATAGATGAGGTCAATGTAGCAGTTTTCTTCCTTATGGAATTGGATGTTTGGTTATGCAGAGTTGCATTCTATGGAAACAATATCAGATATAATTTAGTGCAGAGTTAGCTTCTTCTGATGATAAGTAACTTAAGGTGTGGCGAAAATATCAGTCAATGGAAGCAGTAATGAAGGAAAATTCCCCGCACCTCACATCTTATAATATAATAATAATATACTGACCATAATTACAAGATATGCATTTGAATAGGTGGATGGAAATTTCTCCCTTTTCTCCATCACTGTTTGTAAACCGATGAGTCTAATGAGTTCGTTTCAAAGTGGTTTATTATTTATAACTATCAACAAACGGAGACAGTATTGAAGTAAGCGAAGCACTGAACACAAAACTTGTTATTCGTTTCATTTTCCAGCGATGCTATATTAGAAAAAAATCAGTTTGCCTGGCGGCTTTTCAAAATTACCCTTTAGCTAGGACTACTTCTCCGTCCTAACTTTTTCTAGAATAATATTAATTTTCTTAATTTACATATTGGTCAATATTCCGTTCCAGCGGTGTTTTTATTTTTTCTTGGGACTATGATTAATGCAGATATTGCAACGACTGTTTTAATCCATTTTCTTAGAGGATAGAATAAATTCACGTTTGACTACTCATGAGTAAGCAAATCAGATTCTACAATTTGTCATTGATTTAGAAATTCAGCGATGATCAAAAATTCATCTCAGCTGATGTTTAGGGCAATATTGATTAAAGGTATCAATAGTGACGGAAAAGATTACGGTGAATTTGGTTTTCCATTAGGGGCGAACTTAATGCTCGTACTAACCTCAGGTGCTAATATGTCATGAAAGTCATTCTGGATTGTCTTTGTGAAGTTGAAACCAACTGCTGCTTCGGTGCAGAATGAAACGTGAAACTACACGAACCGTTGACAGTTGGATTTAAATAATCACGGAGATTATTAAAGCAATTAATTTCCGAAATAAACTTGAAAAAAGAACACAACACTGCAAGTGAGCACGATTGAATTCCGGAATCATTTAGTTGCATTTCAGCTGGTGCTTACTGCAGAATACAAAACAGTTCTCATATAAAAGGTGTTGATAATCTAACATGATATCAATTCACTCAACCTTACGTGGTTATCAGGGCATTGCCAGAGTGATGTAGACCTCCTTTTGCTGACGCTAGCATGGGTTTCGTATTTTGCAGTAAGCACCAGTTGAGATGCAGCAAAAGGATTCCAGAATTAACTAAAGCTTGTTGTTTATCTGATGTGTTTATGCAAGTCGCTCCTGATGGTGGGACGTTTCATGACTTCACCAATGGAACTGTTGTTTAAAACAATTTCCTAAATGACAGAATAAACAGTGCATTGATCAATGAGGATAAACAAATACATATTCGTAGGATGATTATTACATGGTCGCTTCAAGAAAGATAAATTGAGCTTACAGTTGGTCTTTTATTTTGTGTTCCACAACAACCACCTTACGTTTAACGAAATCTGACACAAATTTTCAGAAAAGCTTCTCTTTAAAGAAGAAAAGATTGATTTTTTGCACAAAAGCAAACAATTCAGATACCTGAACAATGCTGTTTTACTTTTGGTACCTAAATAACTTGATTCGTTAGTTTTTAACGTTATTTTATGACATCTAATGAGGTTGGTAACTAACGCACCAAACCTCTAAACGATGTTGCCCCCACTTTGTATCCCCATTTAACAGTCTGGTTCAACGTTCGTTGCCTAGCGATTCATCATAAATATGCATCAAAAATGGGGTAGCACTCTTTTGGTTTAAAATACGCTACTGGAAAGAGTGTACCGTTTCATTTACTCTATCTGGCTAATAGTTATTGGGTGGAACGAAAAAGGGCCTAGCATGAGCTGTTGTTATTGGCAACGCGCAAATTAACTTTTCTTATGACATTTGAAACCCTAATTCGCAAAAATGCCCACGTTTTTGTTTATTTTGTGCGAAATGATAGTGATTCATTTAAAGCTGTCTGCGCATTCTCATTAGGACGTCACGGCGACGTTAAATAAATTAAGTGTCCCTATGCTGACTTGACAGTAAATTTTCAGTATACAGTTTATCAGTTTGTAAAGCAGATTTGTTGAGAGTCAGATCGTTTTCCAGGCGTTTAACCGCTACCAGTCTTTAGTAACTTCTATTTTAAGAACACTATTAGCATATAAATGAGTGTCTGGTTACAAACCAGTTGGCGCTTTGTTTGTACAAACATGCAGTTCTTCTTTCTTGGGCAACATGATATGCCAGTTTTCTGAATCCATGTTCTTCCGCTCCGCGTGTGTATATCAAGTTAAATAACAGTATCACTGCTCGTGTTTCAGTTGTGGTGTGTCCATCCACAAGAATACAAAATGAATATTTGGGTAGATCGTCGTTCTGTTGGTGCTGATGTGTTCCCCAACAACATCCAACCAATCAATTTCCGCATCCCGAACTAAAATCATTCCACAATTTCCAGATGACCATTCTAGTACCCTAAGATTTTGAAGAAAATTACTGACAATTTTTCTTTTTTCTCTTGCCTTTACTTCATTGTCATTGAATATACAAAGATACATCTTTTAGGAAGGAGGAAGCGGCCAGTCAGAAGGCTGCTATTCAACATACAATGGGAAAACCAGGCCGTGGTGGTGGGATGCAAACACCGCCCCGGGGTGCTAATTTGGTGACGTTACCACCAGGCTTCTACAGCCCTATTTTGTTGCGGGTTCAGTCGGGATACGAACCCGGGAACAGTCGCACCCGAAGCGATTATCATACCGCTAGACTTGGGTTTGTTTTCGAAATACGTTCTAAGGAAACCAAAAAATAAGGTCATTGGTAGTTTGTACACTGTCTTAAGCAAGTTTTTATAATCTGCATTTTATTGTGCAAGATGTTTGGTTCATTTGCTTGGATCGATATATCGAGTCAAAGTACAAAACTCTGGACCTGCGTGATCACCTCTTTTGGATAACGGGTTCTGAAGTCTTTTTTTTATCAGCATACTTACGTTTGCTGAACGGTTTCAAGGTTTACATGGAGCGAGGCAACAGTTTTATTTCGGGAACACCAGATTAATTAGTGCGGTCGCGGACACATGGAACTTTGAGCGACAGATTGTTTTCCGGGCAACGGACGTAAATTAAAGAAGACCAGGTCAATTAATCCTCACATCGGAGTATTTAACGAGGCACAGGCTAACAATATGTGTGAATCACGTATTACACATGAACCAAGCAAGCAGCTGGTGCGATTGGGGATTGGATTTTGTTCTGTCTAGAATGAAAGCTGTTTGAGCAACTACTGCTGGAGAATGTGGTCAAAGCACAGTGTGGTGAAAAAATGTTTTGGATTTTCAACACCCTTAAGATCTAGCAATGGTAATTAATTGGTTGTTATAAAAGCACAATTACAAACCAACTTTTGAAATTCCATAGATAAACGGTGTACAAATTCTATCCATCAACAGCTTTGAAGAACAAAACAAGTTATGGAACCGGGATTCTTGACAAAATACAATACTGATTTACCGTAGCCTGCAGGATTCACTATAACACCATTGAAATCGGTTGTAAAATTGAGAACTAGCTGAGACTGTTAAATTACA